GGGGGGGTGCAACTTTATTTTAAGGCCTACTTTGCTAATTTTAGAACCCCCCCCCCCTCTCCAGATAATTATTGCACAGTCCCTAATTTTGTTATATGGAGTTCGAAGTTGGTTGGAAAAGTTAAGATGAATATATAAATACTGCTTTATGAAGTTTTCTGATCTTAAATTTTTCTGTTTAAGCCCGCCAATCAGAAGTATAGTACAGATAATAGTAAAGTTAGCACCTTTTTGCACTGTTAATAGCCGTTGTTGCTTTCCTTCTTATCTGGATCGTTTCTTAATATTCGCTGATTGCAAATTAAAAAAAAAAAATAGAAAGGAAACTAGGCATTGATTATACCTTTCTCAATGACAAAATAAAGGCCAAACATTCTTAAATACACGACCAAAGTACTCTCAGCAGCAGGAAATAAACCAAGGAGATCGGTATTTAAAAAAATGAACAATAAGGTATCTTCTGCTTTCGTCCTAACAGCTTCCAGAAAAAAGAGTGAATTTGGGTGTGATCCATATATTGTCATATCAGAGAATGGGCGTGGATGTATGCTACCCTACTACCCATCATGTAGCACGAGGAACCAAGTGAAGATCAACTTTAAACTTATATTACTATAGACTTTATTATACTCAAGTAGGATCCATAATTAAACAGAGTGCTTTCCGAAACGCGCTCGCACGTTATTTTATAGAACAGAAAAGAGTCGTTTGGTGCCCTTGATGATGTAAAGGAAGAAAGGTTTTTGTACAATTTTTGCAAATGACCAGGCTTTTTTGAGAGCATTTGTTGTTTCAGTGTAATATTAAAATTATCCGCAATTCGGCTACAACTTGGAACTTCTGAATTCTTCTTAATTAATGCCACAAACGCTGATTTAATTTATAGCTTAACATGTAACATAAACAGCAATAACCTTTTAAAGCATGAAGATTTTCAGAGGTTCCGAGGAAACTTTGTTTCCTTATCTGAATTTTTCAGTGCATTGTAAATAAAAAATTAAAACGTTATAGCGACTGAGTCAGTGAAAGGACTAGGATTTCATGGCTTTCAATCCTTTACATTGGTTCAATGAACATAAAAAGTTTACTGAATATCCATTGCAAGCGAAAAGCGCTTTTGATATCATCGCACCAGCACTTTGAAACGGCGAAAGATACTTAGTTCTTCCTATTCTAGAGTCAGCCTCGTCGACTTAACTCCAATGAAAATTTTATTCTTTTCTTTTTTTGACTTTCAGCTAAGCTAAGAGACATATGTTTATTCACGGTAGGAGGCCTTAAAACCCCAAAGGCAGCACCGTAGCACTGGTCGGGGTTACACACTGTCCCTATTTTTTCCAAAATTGTTTTTTCGGGTCTACGTGTCCGGCTGTGTTGTATTAACTCGTAAACTTTTCGATACATTTAGTGATGTATTACTTATCAATAAAGTGCACTGTCTAGTACTGACTAAAAAAGCGCGTGTTTGTTATTTTTCTCTGGTTGTTCAAATAAAAGGGCGCACAATCGTTATTTAAGGTCAACGAACAACTTGAATCTTCGTGTGGACCGGCTTCATTGAGTATCTATGAAAATTAACTACGGTGGTAACTAAATGTTTCCATACTCTAGCCTTAATTGTTCTTTTAAAAATACGTAAAATAAATAATACACAGCAAATGTATTTATCATGGGTTATGTAACCTTTTCTTTGGGGTGTTACATGGTATGCTGTTCTGTTGCTTCATTAGCGGTAGGCTATATATTTGAGTTGTTCTCATTTATATTCATTCGCGTCTTACGACCGTCCCTACGCCCTCAAAATTATGTCCGATGTTGAAGACGTTACTCCAGCGAGCACAGATTTTCCTGGCAGCGACGTTTTGCTGCCTTCGCTCCCTAAACAACCTTTGTCTCAACCTCTCGAAGCTTCAGTACCAATCCAGTCTTCAGAATCCAGTGATATAGCGTCCGCGTTCTCTCTATTTAAGGATTATTTCGACAAGAAGTTGGGCGCCTTGAAGCGCGATATTCAAGACGAGTCGTGCAGTAATACCGATTCTGTGGCCAAAAAGCTTAAAGAAGAATCCAAGATCACGTTTAGATTCGAAGGTAATAAGAAACAGTTTCAATTCAACTCCGACCTTGCAGAGAAGGTGAAGTCGGCGTCAGTTGCTCTCGGGAAGAGAAAATTAGACCTTGTTAAAACTCACCTGGAAGAACTAGACTCTGACATCAAGAAGCGCAACAAACTTATCAGACTGGCAGACAAGTCCGCCGCCGGTTGGGATTTGGTGAACGAGTATTTATCAGACGAGCTGGCTAGCGGGTCAGAGGACGAAAAGCGTATCCGCCGTGCCGAGCAGAGGGCCCTTCGTAAACGCAACCAACGCCAACAGAAAGCGAAGCCATCCAAGCAAGGTTATTCACAACTCCAATCATCTACCGCAACCACCGCGTTTGCTGGCCAACATTCATCATCCTCCAGACCTATTTCTCGTACTTTTGGCGCTTTCAGCAAACCAAGATCAAGTGATATTTGTTTCGCCTGCGGCCAGCAAGGTCATTGGAGATCTCAGTGTCAAGTTAATCCTCAAGCCAGATCTTCAAGCTCGGGGCCGTCCTTTCCTAGTTCTTCTGGTCTTTCGGGCATTGGAGGTAAATAGGACCACAGAATTAAAAACTTGTTCTCCAAGGTTAGATATTAGCTTTACTCAATTTATTAGACATGTATCCTTCTTATTTGGAGTATTTCAGGGAAAGGGACTCTAGTTCATTAGTCGATTTCGATTATGATCGTAATCTATTTGAATTTGAACAGAATTCCGCATTGCCAGTACTTAAGGGTAGACTTAGGTCCTGTTTAAGTTATTGGCACACTATTGGTGCCAATAGTTTTGTTATCGATACTATTAAATTCGGTTATCGGATCCCATTCATTAGCACACCTTGTCAGGCGCGTTTTTCTAACAATCAGTCAGCTCTTAATAATGCGTCTTTCGTGGAGTCGGCTATCGCTGAATTAGTCCACACTCACGCCGTCGTTGAGGTGCCCTTTATTCCACATGTCGTTAATCCACTCTCTGTCTCGATACAGTCTTCAGGCAAGAAGAGGCTTATTCTGGACTTACGTCATGTCAATCATTTTATTTGGAAACAGAAGTTTAGGTGTGAAGATTGGAGAGTTTTATTATCATATGTTAATAAGGGCGATTACCTTTTCAGTTTCGATCTCAAGTCTGGATATCATCATATCGATATTTTTCCGGATCACCAAACTTTTCTGGGTTTCTCCTGGGTTTTTTCTGGTACCGTTCGGTATTTTTGTTTTGCATCACTTCCGTTCGGTCTAAGCTCAGCCCCATACGTCTTCACCAAGTGTCTCAGACCACTCGTTAAGTTTTGGAGGTCTAACGGGATTAAAATTGTTGTGTTCCTCGACGATGGGTGCGGAAAAGGGGATTCACTGCCTATGGCCAAGGAAAATTCATTGTTTGTGCAATCATCCTTAAGCAGTGCGGGGTTTGTTGCCAACTCCGCCAAATCACTATGGAACCCCACTCAGGTGCTTGTTTGGTTGGGTTTAAACTGGGACTTAGTTATCGGTACCATTTCTATTACCGATAGACGTATTTGCAAATTTATCGCTCTGATTGACAAATTTCTTCTATCCGCACCTTATGTTACGGCTCGGGATTGTGCCGTTATCGCAGGTCATGTTATGTCCATGTCGCCAGTTTTGGGTAACCTGACTCGTCTCAAAACCCGTTTTCTTTACAAGGTCATAGAATCCCGCCGTAGTTGGGATTCCCGTTTTAATATCGGGCTTCATAATGATTGCCTCTCTGAAATATTTTTCTGGAAAAACAATATCGTTAGTCTTAATACGAGACCTATTTTGCCTTATAATGCTCCCCTTTTGTTTAGCTATTCGGACGCTAGCAACGTCGCCTGCGGGGCTTTTGTTGTGGGCACTAATGAGGTGTCCCATCGTATGTGGACTGCTTGCGAAGCAGCTAAGAGCTCTACCTGGAGAGAACTTAAGGCTATACAATTTGCCTTAAGTGCGTTCAAAGCCTCGGTTCGGGGTAAGTGTGTAAAGTGGCATTCTGACAGCCAAGGGGCCGTTCGTGTTGTGGAGATAGGGAGTCCTAGTGCAGAATTGCATTCTATTGCGCTTGATATTTTCTATTTTTGTCGAACTTACAATATTACACTTATTCCCCAGTGGGTTCCCAGGGAACTTAATGCTTGTGCTGATGCGATTAGCCACATTGTAGACTTCGATGACTGGTATACAACCCCCGAGTTCTTCGCACACTTGGACCACCTTTGGGGCCCACATACAGTCGACAGGTTTGCGAATGCTGCCAACGCCCATCTTCCCAGATTCAATTCTAGGTTTCGCGTGCCCGGCACTGAAGCTGTTGACGCATTTTCAATCTCGTGGAATGGAGAGAATAATTGGCTAGTCCCTCCCGTCCACTGCATTACTAGGGCGGTTCAGCATCTCCTTGTATCCGGTGCGGTTGGTACTTTAGTCGTCCCTTATTGGCCGTCTAATGTGTTTTGGCCTTTCTTGTTCGCAAATGCTGTTCAATTCCAACCGTACGTCCTTGAGTACATTCATTTTCCCGACCCCTCAGGGATTTTTGCCCTTGGGTGTTACAAAGATTCACTCATTGGTTCAGACAGGTTTAACAGCGCGGTGCTGGCAGTCAGAATTGGCGCTAAGGGGCCTTAGTTTTTTCAAGCCGAGTGGCTTTATGTTGGCTCACGTGTTTTTTATTCCGCTCGTCGGTTCATTTGTCCTCGTTTCGCATGAAACTAGCTCGCCGAGTGGCTTGTTTACCGTCGTTTTTGAGTTGGCCCATTCGGCCTTAAATAGTTTTGCATCCGGTCAGAGGCATTACCAAGCGTCCATTTTTTATTGCTGTATTGACTCCCAGTGCGTGTACTGAGGAATTTTGCCATATATTTTTGTTCTTATCCTCGTAGAAGTTCTCAAAGATGCCTTGCAGCCTAATTTTCAACAGGTTGAAGACGGGCGACTCCGGGCACTGGTTCAAGATCTCCCCGCAGTTCTTCTTAAATCCAAAGCCGACAGTACCGCGAGGAAGTACGAAAAGGGCTTCAATACGTGGAGAAAATGGGCTTCTCAGTTTAAAGAAATTGTTATATTTCCCGCTTCTAGTGTGCACGTTTCATTGTTCTTTCTTAGCTTGATTCAAGAATCTGCTTCTTGCAGTACTATTGACGAAGTCCATTATGGGCTCAAGTGGGTGCATGATTTGGCAGGTCTACCCGACCCCTGTAATTCCTCGTTAGTTTTACCTTTAATAGAATCTGCTAAGAGGCTTCTCAGTATCCCTGTTAAAAAGAAAGAGCCTGTGACCCCCGAGGCTATTCAGCTTTTATTTTCTAAGTATGGATCGTCTTCAGCTAGTTTGTCTGATTTACGAGTGCTTACTTTGTGCGTTTTAGGTTATGCAGGGTTTTTTCGCTTTAACGAGTTGGTTCAGTTACGCAGGTGTGATTTTCAGTTTGAAGATTCTTTTATGAGAATCTTTGTTCATCGAAGTAAGACTGACGTTTACAGGGATGGGGCTTGGGTTGTTATCGCTAAAACTTTCAAGCATACATGTCCTTATTTATTAGTTCAACGATATTTTGTGGCCGCTTCTTTTTCAGCAGACAGCGAAGAGTTCATTTTTCGCCCTCTTGTTTTTCTTCGCAGTACCGGAGCTTATAAATTGCGCGGGTCTGTTCCTTTGTCTTATACTAGAGCGCGGGAGATAGTGCTTAGCGCTTTCGATTCCATCGGCCTTCCCAAGCAAGACTACGGTCTCCATAGCCTTAGGGCCGGAGGCGCCTCCGCTGCTGCTAATGCTCGAGTGCCTGACAGATTGTTTAAAAGACACGGCCGTTGGAAATCAGACAAGGCAAAAGACGGTTACATTAAGGATAGTGTTCATTCATTGTTGTCGGTTTCATTATCACTGGGTATTTAATTTTCCGTATTTCCCGTTCTTTTAGTTCGCACACGGCTCGTGTTGACACACCCCAATTGAGGTTGCTTGTTACATGATAAATGTTTTATATTCGTTTGAGCGGGGTAGCGAATTAGAATATAAATGTATTTATCATGGGTTATGTAACCTTTTCTTTGGGGTGTTACATGGTATGCTGTTCTGTTGCTTCATTAGCGGTAGGCTATATATTTGAGTTGTTCTCATTTATATTCATTCGCGTCTTACGACCGTCCCTACGCCCTCAAAATTAAATACCCAGTGACCAGGGGTTTCTCTTAGACGTAGTTTTTTGCATGCTGCTATATGAAAAGTTTAGCACGTTTTGTATGAATCATTGTTATACGAGCATAGTTTAGATCATTTTGTTGGGTTGTTTTTCTTGCTGTAATTTTTTACATTTCCGAGTTTTCATTCGTTTGTTGTATTATTTCCATCCATTCTGTTGATGAAGGCATAATAAAGAGGGTCGCACACGGCTCGTGTTGACACACCCCAATTGAGGTTGCTTGTTACATGATAAATGTTTTATATTCGTTTGAGCGGGGGAGCGAATTAGAATATAACTGTTCTGGGTCGCCATTGACTGAGACTGGACAAATTAAGTATACAGAGAGGCTGTCATCTTTTTTCGTTCGAATTGGAAACTCTTTTTTTAATTTAGTTAGTTTTACAAACAGTAAATGAAGAAAAAGGATGACAAACAAAGCATAGCTATAAAAAAGAGCGATCAAACTAAAGAAAAAGTCGGTACAAATGAGCTGACTAAATATTCAGGCTTTCGCGTTTCTTCCAAACGGAAAAAATGTCCTCCTCGCGTTGGAACGGCGGCCGGCAAACGGCAAAGGGCAACCACAGGAAAAGTCGGGTCACTGTCGGGTCACATGGCCAAAGGAAGATTTGTTTCGAACGAATGCAAAATCCTTATTTTGGAAATTCACTTTGTGCGAAACTCCATTGTGAAAAATCGTGAAACGTTCACAATCAAGAGAATGCTGTGATTATTTTCTCTCAATATTGTTTTTTTTCTTTTGTCCTTTTTTTTTCTTTCAAAGAACGCGAAAGTAGAAATAAACGTTAATGCTGAATGAACTTGTCTGAGTTTGATTCGTGCTTCTAGCTTGGTCAATTGTAAGCACTGATACCATTGTCGACCTCCCTCACGGTAACTGACGATCAAGAAGATGGGTTTCGACAAACCAAAGTTCATTTTAAATTAAAAATGGACCTAAATTCTTGTAAGAGATCCAAATGATTAGGTATTCGACCCTACAAGACTGGAAATGTTTGTGTCGCCAATTTCAATTCTTTCTTTCAGTTCGATTTTCTTGCAACGTCCTCGGAGAGGCTGACATAAGAGAAACTGCATAGGCTGCATTCAAGTAGTGCTGAACTCGGCATATCGTTTCGTAAAGCTACTCTGGGAACAGCGCAAAACAATTGCGAGGCAGTTTGGAAGACTAAATTTCTTTTAGCGTTAATTCCTCATTTTGTCCAAAATTTTTACCATCTGAAACAGGTCGATTACTCTCTGCCCTCTTGAAGTCTTAAACATAAAAAAACGACTGTTTTTTGTTTTGCATCTAGGCTAAAGTAAAAAAAAATAGAAAATGAAATTTCTTCTCCCGATTTGGGCCCAGATGTGTCCTTTCCAACCCACTCGCCACTCGGTCTAAAGTTGTTACAATTCGCGTTAATGTTAAATTTCGTTGCGTAACATCTGTCGCTTACTCCAGTATTTATAGAGCTTTTGCTGATTACTCTAAAAGCTCTCCACATTTGAATGCAGCTCATATTTTACATTTGACGTCCACATCCCCGCGCCTATGCTCAGGTTGGGGGTTGGGGTATTTACATGGCTGGTGCATTTATTTAAGGTCCTTAACACATGTCACTCTACATGTGATAGGATCTAATCTATTAATCAACGAGCATAATCTAATTACAATAAGTCATGTTTCGTATTTTTGACACAATGTGGTTGTAACCACGATGCAGATTCCTGTCCACAAAAGAGACTAAAACAACTGAAAACGTGCTTGGAAGTTAACTTCGGGAAACAATACTCAAAACGAGTCTCAGCAAAGATTCAACCGTGTTTCCTATTTACTTTTTCCCTGTCTCGTCCTCTAAGGAAATGGAGAAAGCCTGTGCCTAAAGCTTTAAAGCCACGTTATTCCGCGCGGCCGTTCGTCTTGTCTACGTCAGCTTACGTCAACGAAATGCATTGACCGAGAAGGCCTGAGGAGACGCCGTACAGGGAGTAGGCAAGAGGAAGCCCACAATTTACCGATGACAACAGTCGACAACAGAGGAATTAAGGTCCCTGTGGTGAGACCCTGGGGGCTCCACCAGATCTGCCACTCTATGTTATTTACTGTTTGGCAAATAAATAAAACGAACACGTGAACATGAGTCTTTTTTTTCTCTATTTTTTCTCTTTATTCACTTTCTTTTTCATCGAGGCACAAGGAATAAAAGCACTTTAGAAAGTTAAGCCTACAACTACACTTCCCGCTTTAAAATTCTACAGCCTCGAGATTTCACTTGGAAGGGGCACTTCACTGTTGCCTCATCGCAAGTAGACTGCCAAGACATCTGCCTCTTCAACATTGTCTGAAATTAGGAAAAACGTATTGTGGATCTTAAGACTGACACAGGAATAACCACAGAGCGAGAAAAGAAAGTACATGTATTATTTTTTGTTGGGGGAAAACTAAGTTAAAAGGTGTTTATAAAAGCTGAAATGGAGGACCACTTGCACTTGCACTTTTTATTTGAGTGTCAATGTATTTAGCACGAAAGTGCTAATTGGGGACACTATTTTTACGTCTCCTAATGGAGACGGGACCTCCATTTTACGTGGTCACGAGCCACGCGAAGAGCTCGCCGCTTGCAGTGCAAAGGAAGTAGCTTCATTTCTCAGTCATTTTAAGACCCTGAGAAATGGTCCGGCCCCGGGAATCGAACCCGCGACCTCCCGCTCTGCAGTCAAACGCTCTACCGACTGAGCTAATCCTACCACGGTTAAGGGGAGGGGAGGGGAGGGGAGGGGAGGAGAGGGGAGGAAAATGGCCGAAAAGAC